AAAGTAATGCAGGGCTTCTTTCCATACCACATTCTTTCACATGATCTCTGGACGTCTTTTAAACCAATGATTTTCAACCCTATCAGATCCAACAATTTTCTTTTAATAGCAAATATTTGTAACTCCCTCCTTTACTACCCTGAAATGAAATTTAAAGATAATATAAGCTACTTAAATATACCTTAACTGTAATATGAAAGGAGAGAAATAAAATTTTGTTATAATATTTAAATATGGAAATGTTTTTGTACAGCTGTACTGGATCATCAGATGCCTGTACTACATATACAGATGGAGAAAGTGTTATATCAGGAACTCAGATCCTACTGAGTAGTTATTGGTGACTTTTCTGCAATGAATGATTTTTGGTAATGTTCTGAACAAAACAAAGTATGAGCTCCCCCTGATTTAAACAGTAGTTAGAATCCCAGACAACTGAGAAGTATATGAAAACTGCAAAAACAAAAATCAACTTTTGGGTTATCTGTATATGAAGTTAGACATTAAGGTGGATTTTTCTTTGTTGTGTAGGACCAACTCATCCATTCCAAGATATTCAGCATCCTGGTCACTTCCCCTCCATGATTGTGACAAAAATGCCCCAACGTGGCCACGTGTGGTGGCTCATGCTTATAATCACAGTACTTTGGGAGGCCTACGCGGGAGGATCATTTGAGCTCAGGAGTTTAAGACCAGCCTAGGCAACATAGTAAAGATTTCATTTCTATTAATTAAAAGAAAAGAAAAAGCCCCACTGTTTCTAAAACACTCCCGTAAAAGATGGTATTGTGGCCATTGAGAGCAATTGTCCTTCAACAGTGGCTTTCTGAAAACATTGGGGCAATTGCTCAGGGACGACAGTGCTGTCCCCTCTACCAAGCAGGGAAGTCCCCTCACCTATAGGAGTGTCAGCCCTCTTCTATTCTGTAATTTAATTCTTCTAATGCAGGGCAGGCTGCCCCATGACACTGTTCTAAATGCTCTGATAAACTGTAGTCTCGAAATAAGTATTCTGGGCTTTTTAAAAAGCAGCATTGTGAAGAGTTGCCCTTTAACAGTATTAGTCAATCTCTGGTTCACGTTGCAATCTTTGGAATCAGGGCCCATCTTAGTCCATTTTGGGTTGCTATATCAGAATACCTGGACCTGGGTAATTTATAAAGAAAAAGGGTTTATTTGGTTTATGATTCTGATGACTGAATAGTTAAAGATTAGGCAGCTGTACCTGGGGAGGGCCCTCAGGCTGCCTCAACTCACTGCAGAAAGCAGAAGGGGAGCTGGGTGTGTGCAAAGAGATCAGGTAGTGAGAGAGGAAGCAAGAGAGAGAAACTGAGGAAGCCAGATGCCTTTTAAACAACCTGCTCTCCATTCCCAGCAGAGTGAGAGCACACTCACCCACCTGCAGGAAAGCATTAATTTGTGAAAGATCTACCTCCACGACCCAGATACCTCCCAATACGCTGCACCTCCCAACACTGCCACACTGTGGGCCAGATTTCAAACCACATCCGCACCATAGCACGACCCGAGAAAGTGATCAGTCACAGCTCAGTTAAATTTTTGTTACAATATGGCTTTTCACATGAATACTTATATCCTACTTTGTACCCAAAATGACTTACAGGGATACACAAACTGGGTATCTGAAACAAGGTGGGAATGAGAGGAAAATAAAAATTGGGATGTAAAATAGAACCAGGAATTAAATATACACTTTAACCTATATTCTTGCCAGGGGTGCTGTATACGTTTTTGTATATATTTTGTATACACAAAATACGTTTCTAGAGCCAGATAATGTGGTATGCATTCCAAAACAAATTTGCCTGTGGAGATGGGGGTGTGATTTAAAAGGCCATGAAAACTCTCGAAAGAGAAAGTTCTACTTTTCAGCATTGGCAATTTCTGGTAGGCTTTTTTCCCCTCCATTTATATAGCCTCTTAATAGGAAAATATGCATTGGGTTGAAAAAAGAAATTGCACCAAAACATACATCGTTTCCCTCATTTCCCTAAGGTCGTAAGAGGAAATTCCTTTTGTGTTCTTTTAGAATATTTCCATTCGTGTACAAGCACCTTCTTTTTTCGCCTGAAGTGCCCTTGAACGTGGCTAACGCTCACTACCTTTTAGACAAAGTCTGGAGGCTCCAATCTTGAAAGTTTACGTAAAGGTAAACGCACCCCAAGCGAAGCTGGATGTGCCGCGAGGTTAGCCGATTCCTCCGCTTGGAAGGGGATCCACGGCCGCTCAGCGACCAGGGGTGGAGCTGAACCTCCCGCCTCGCCCGGGGAGGTATCTGCGCTCGCGCACCACGGGCCGGCCCCACCCTTGCCGGAAGTGGCTGAGCGAGCCCAGAGACATCCCCGCTGCGGTGCTTCCGGTTTGGGGCGCGGAGGTGTTCCGGAAGTAAAAACTGACAACGGAAGTGGTTCTCAAGAGCCGAGGAAAGACCCCAAATTTTGTCTGTGTCGTGGGGACGTCGCTGAGTTGATGAAAAAGGTCGATGGAGCCGCCAGGCGGGCACCGCACAGCTTCAGCCCGCGCTTTCGACTTGCCGTCGGCCCCTGAGGTGTGTTCTCGGACTAGTTAACAGCTCAGTAGTCTAGCGGTACATTTATTTGAATTAAACTGGCCTGATTTAGCTGCCCCTGATGAAGACTGCTTTTGCAAATTATGTAGCAGACATTTGTCATAAAATCAAGTTGCACCTGCAGCTCCCAAGTTTGAACGCAACTACATTTAAAACATATATACATTAGACCAGAAATTATATCCTTTGCAATTCAAGCTTTAGCCAGCCACTAGAGATCGCTAGTATGAGCCTCTACGAATACAGAGCAGACTATTCAAAGCTTAGCAGTCATGAAAAAATTTTAGTAAATGTGGGTTCAAGAAAGCACTGGCATCGGTGGACTTAGGGCTCAAAACTATTTTAGTCTGATTCCTCAGCACATAGAACAAAGTTTTTAGAACTGTTATTAGTTATAGCTTCTGGTGAATGAACAAGCCAGCAACGAAATCAGCATTTATTTCCTAGGCCAGGGATGGCTTCTGGATGCTAACAAACTCCTGGGGAAGAAGGTAGCCATTAAGGGACCAGCGATCCTTCCTCCCAAACTTTACCTCCTTCCCTGCCTCATCATTTTGTGGTCGGCCCCACTCCAATTCTCGTCCATTATGCCTTCTGAATCGTACCTTCTCCATACTCACTCCCATTTCCTTGGCTCTGCCTCCAGACTCCCATTGTAGTTGTCCTTTATGGCCTGGCCAGAGTATTCTCTCACCACCACAGCACTTGCCATTTACCTAACCTTCCCCAATCAGTTTCCTGAACTCGTTTTGCTATTCCCTCTGCTTGGACCAACTTCCCACTGACAATCCCATGTAGACTGACTGACTCCTATCTGCTCCCATAAGAGTTTGGACTTAAGTTACTAAGTCAAACACAAAAATTAAGTGCATGGTTTCCATTTTAATCTATGTAGTCCTCAAGTAGGCAGTTCCACCTAAATTTTAAAGATGAGGAAATTGGATTAAGCCTAAATCACATAGGTATTGGGTAGAGACCAAGAATTAAATTGAGTCTTTTAATTCATCATTACTAACCACTTAGTGTGGGATCCTTAAACTCAGGTTCCATATAAAGAGTCCTCTATGGGTCCTAATGGAGAGTGCTTATTTCTAATCTTTTCTAGCACAATGGAAGATGCAAACCCAAATGATACATTTGTTATAAAATCGTCCAACTAAATTGGGGTTTCACTACATTACTTTGTAATTCTCCTATTCTTATGTAAGCCAATTCAGTGTTTCTCTGTGCCTTATATTTGATCCCAAACATCCTCTAAAGGCTGTCACAGACAACCATGGTTCCTAGCTCTTGCATATTATGACCCCACAGAGCACTAAGGAAACCTCCACTAACTAAAACCCATGAGTGTAAGTGCCATCTTATTTGCCTAGCGTTTTATACTGCATCATGTAGGGTCAAAAAAGTACACAAGTCAGGAAGAACCATAAAACTTAGCAAGTTATAATTTACCCAAAGATCTATGAGGATCTTATTTGTAAACATGCACTGGTCACCATCAGTTTTCAGAGCAAGAGACACAAATCCTAGAAAACCTTATTTCAGTTTCTGGCCTTCCCTGCTTTCTCAAGATGCATTTCAGACTAGAAGAAAAATTAACAATTTTAAACCCACTTTGACATACAGAAAAGCCCTGGCATTATTTAAATTTCAGATCGCTGGACTTCCATCTTGAGATTTTGATTCATCATACTCTGGATGAAACAAGAATTAGGATCAAAATTAAGGAGCCACAGGCTGAGCGCAGTGGCTCATGCCTATAATCCCAGCACTTTGGGAGGCCAGGGTGGGCAGATCACTTGAGGTTAAGAGTTAAGAGACCAGCCAGACCAACATGGTGAAATCTTATCTCTACTGAAAATACAAAAATTAGCTGGGGGTTGTGGCACCAGCTTGTAATCCCAGATACTCAGGAGGCTGAGGCAGGACAATTGCTTGAACCCAGGTGGCGGAGGTTGCAGTGAGCCAAGACCAGGCCATTGCAAGACTCTAATTAAAAAAAAAAAAAAAAAATTAGGAAGCCACTGGAAAAACCTTGCACTGAGGAATTAAATCTTGAAGGACCACCTCAATCCTATCACACTGCCCCTCTTTAGAAAGTGATCCATCAAAAAGGAAACTTTCCTTTTGACCCTCATCAAACAATTAGGGTACATTCTCCCATTCACTGTAAACTTCAGAGTATACATGCAGGCCTTTCAATAATCAACAGGTATCATTCTGACTTTATAAACAGAAATGTTTAACTGGCCAATCACTGTCAAGTGTTGGTCCTATCTTAACCATATACTTTCTGAGGTTAAGTCAGCAGAGGAGCCCATGTTTTCATACCCTAAGTACTAGAACCTGGGCTCCCAATATACATAGGATGATGTAGAGATGCCTCTGAATGACCTACTCACACCACAAGGAACAAGTACTCAGCATTTAATGAACCTCCCTCCATGTGGCTTCAAGCCACGAGGACACAGGCCCCCCCAACACCCTTAATCTTCTCCTCAGCTCTTCTGCTGAAGAATTTGGCCTTGACGATGACAGGCTGCTTTGGGAGCTTTCCCTTGCCCAGAACTTTATAGTAGCCCTAGAACAGAGAAAAAAAAGTTCACAATACACTGTGGAAGGTACCAACTGCCTGATGGGTATGAGGAATGTACACTGCCAACCCACTTTCTAAAAAACTCTACGGAGGGTATGTATGTTTCTGATCTGGGCACTAACGGGGGCACCGACGGCCCCCGCCAGTGAATCAAGACCAGTAGATTCTCTCCGAGTACTCTAGCACACCAGGACAAGAGTTATGTCAGGATGTGACTCTAGTCTCGGCAAAGCATAATCCTCCTTTTCCTGCTAAAATACCCCCTAATATTAAAGCAAAAGAACACAACCACATTCCTGACCACCAAAACTGCTCTATGGACATTAAATAGGCTGGGAAGTGAATTTAAAGCATCTCTAGGGTTCTCGTCTCTTAAGACTACCCCCATATTTATGGACATTAAAACTGACACAAGGACCAGAACCCACAAGGACAGACAAAACATCTGTTTTGGGGGAGAATCTCTTCAGATAATGTATAGCACCGGGTATTAGTGGAATATATTAGGATTCTATTCTGCAGGAAACATGAAGGGTTCAAGAGCTGTGCTCGATCAGAACCAGCTATAGTTCAAGCAGGAAATGCAAACGTGATACAACTGGGTAATGACAGTAGGCACTGCGACTGATGGGGAAATACCTATAATTCTACCAAAGGTAGAATCAAGGTCTGGTAGGTAACTGGGAGCACAGGTTATATTCCAGGTAGGAGATTAAGTGGATTAGATTAAGCCAGGGTTTTGCAAGTATATAAAAACAACATCCAAAACTTACCGATCGCACCACATCAATGATGGGAGCAGCTCCAGTCTTGTTTTTAGCAGCATTCACCCGTGTCTGCTCACTGACCAAAGTCCACAATTTGTCAAGGTTGACAGTTGGGCAGAAGCTCTGGTTCCTCTTTAAGTGGTAATGCCTCATACCAACTTTCCCAAAGTAACCTGGGTGGCTAGAAAGAGATAACAATCACCTTCATGCTCATTCCAATTAACATTCTATGTTTATCATCTTTACAGTTACCCCCCCATTGCAGTGTAAATTATTCACTGGTGTCAGGCACATGATATACCTGTTGAGTTAAACAAATGTTTTAAAAACCACCAAAGACTATCAAGAGGAAAAGGCTATTCTTATTTCCTAGAGGATAAGTAACTGACAAAGTCAGAAGCAGGGATGAGACTGAAATTCAATTCACCTAACAGTGCTCTATGGAAAATCTACATACTTCTATAATAAAGGTCTTCTGAATAGCCCAAATTTATCATCCACTGGTTTGTGGGTAAGTGAATGTGAAGCATGTCTCTAACCTGGTGGCTGACTGTGCCATAAGGCCCACAGCCAGTGAATAAGGTCAGCAGTTTACTCTCCGAGGACTCTAGCACACTCAGGCAATAGCTGATACCCAAGCGTGACTCTTGCCTCGATGACAGGTCTCAGTTCACACCAAGTGTTAACTTGGTAAAAGCAGTAGGCAAGACTTGCTTCTAAACTTTTTTGTTTTAAGCCCTGCCCCTACGTCCCAAGCTGTGTCAGTAAAAGCACTCCAAGGACACTTACTATTTGTCGAAGTTGATCCTGTGGTGATGCATACCACCAGCATTACCACGGCCTCCGGGGTGCTTCCGGTGCTTGCCTGCAGAAATACAAAGCTACATGGGGCCGCGCGTGGTGGCTCATACCTGTAATCCCAGCCACTCGGGAGGCTGAGCATTCCCACAGTACTCCATGTCTTCAACTAACCCAATACTGTGCCTGCTCAATTCCCATCACTCCACTGATGTGAAATTCCCTAGAACTGAAACACTAGAGGATCCTCAGGAAAAAAATCAATAGTTGTCCGACTTGACCACAAAAAGGTCTTACTCTAACCCACTACTAGGCTACCTATCTCCTGACTTGCTAAGCACCCGAAGGGAGCCAAAGGCCCACCCCGAAGGGAAGCTAGCACTTACCGATGCGGCCGTGGCCGTGACTCACGTGGCCCCGAAGTTTCCGGGTCTTCCTCAGTCTGGATGGCTGCGTGGAAAAAGCTTGGTGGTAAGGCCTAAAGAATTAGGGGTAGAAGGTGATGCCTGCCAGCTGAGATGGGCCTGTAGGCCTGTGGATCAAGGACCTAACTTCTGGAGCATTCGGCAAAGTTGAGAATACCGATCCGCCCAGGGCCGTGCGGCCTCACCGCGGTAGCGCGGGGGCCCGCGTGTCCTATAAATCCAAACCGCGGGCCGGACACAAGACTCCGGGAGTTCCGCCCTGGCCACCCTGCCCTGCAGACGGCCTTGCGCAGTCTGGAAGCCCAGACCATGGTCGGGAGTCGATGACTAGGGGCAATGGAAATAGAGCTTGGGGGGTCCATATCGGCAAAAAAGAGGAGGCAAGAAATGAAACACCTACCATGTTGGCGGCCCAGACGAAAGAGGAAGGCCTATCCAAGTCTCGCGAGGTATCGAGCACGGGGGGGCGGGGCTAAGTGCCTCACTTCCGGCCAGGGAGGCCGGTCTTCGGGTGGGGCTTATTGGTCTCGCGGGGTTCCTCTCTTGTTCTTCGCTTTTTTCTGCGGGGGGTGGTTAGTCTCAAAGTCTGTCCCCGTGGCCTGGTGGCGGCGAACGGTTTCGGCGCAGCCTGTTGTGCCAGGCTTGGAGGTCGAGAACTGTTGAAGAATCGGGGCTAGGGGCGCTGTGCTGCACGCCGCCTGTGCCTGCTTGAGCCAGGACCTGTCCTAGCGCCTTGGCTGGGGAACCGCCTAAGCCTACCCTAAGTGCCTCAGTGTCTCACCTCCTTACCACATGCGCCAGCCCTGAGCCGCCTCTCGCGTCGCCCCAGTTCTTAGTGGTTTGCCCGGGGCTGGTGATAGTGGCTGCTAGTTTGTCTCCCGGCCGCGTGCGGAACCACGAGGCCCTTTAACCCTCAATGTGCCCACCTGGTGTCTCGCTCAGTTTCCTAAGTCTCGGGCGGCTCCCGAAATGCCTCCTCCCCCTCCCACCCTCCTGAGTGGCACTTCGGCTTCCTTTCTCTTTTGCTCTTCTGCTGTCATCTTGGTTGTCCTTTCAAGTTTGAGCAACTTGCTATGCTTCAGGGACTTAGATGCCTGTTGGTCGCTTTATAGTCCTTTAAACCCAGACATTATAAATACTTTTTCTAAATGCTGCATTTAGGCCAGGCGCGGTGGCTCACGCCTGTAGTCCCAACACTTTGGGCAGTTGAGGCAGGAGGATTGCTTGAGGCGTGGAGTTCAACACTAGCCTGGGCAACATAGTCAGACCTTCGTCTCTACATACAAAGTAAATAAGTAAAAGTAAATGCCATAATCGAATTTTCTCCAGAATCTACCTAACACGCCTGTGACCCTTTCCTGGACAATGCAGACATAGTTGCTCACTTCCCCTCCTGTACCACCACACAAGGAACACAATCTGGTACAGCTCTTATGTAATTTATTGACCTATGTTTGTCTTCCCTACTAGACCTAATTCCTTATGTGTTCAAGAATTGTTTGCTTTTTTCCATGCTCAACTAGTGATTGTCGAGTGAATAAATGAACTTACCCTCCCCTCCCTGTCTTCACTAATAGCATATCTTCTGCCTTAAGTCGGTTCCTTCAACTAGTGTTCAAGATCCCATACCCTCACTAGTCTGTTAATATATCCCATGGGAAAAATCCCATCACCTTAGTTATTCTCTGTATATGTGTGTGCATTTATTTTTTCTTTTTTTTTTGAGACGGAGTTTCGCTCTTGTTACCCAGGCTGGAGTGCACTGGCGCGATTTTGGCTCACCGCAATCTCCGCCTCCTGGGTTCAGGCAATTCTCCTGCCTCAGCCTCCTGAGTAGCTGGGATTACAGGCACGCGCCACCATGCCCAGCTAATTTTTTGTATTTTTAGTAGAGACGGGGTTTCACCATGCTGACCAGGATCGGGAGATCTCTCGACCTCGTGATCCACCTGCCTCGGCCTCCCAAAGTGCTGGGACCACAGGCTTGAGCCACCGCACCCGGCCGCATTTATTTTTTCTTTGTCTTGTCCCCTTCAGCTAAAATATATTTTAGCTAAAATAGCCTAAACTCTCCCATGTCTCTACTACCCTTGCCCTTTCCTTCATAGCAAAGTTTCCCGAAAGTCCACAAATCCTGCCCATTTGCACCTTCCCATCCATTGTTTACTGCAATCTAGCTTGCAGCCTGCAACTTCAATGGAATTGTTCTTACTAATGTCATTAATGAACCAATTGCCAAATTGAATTTTTCCTATTCTTCATACCACTTGTTCTTTCTGTTGTGCTTTAATCTGTTGGCATCTTTTTCTAGAGAAATTCTCGCCTTCCTCCTACTCTGGTCATTTCTCAGTCTTTGCAGGTTCCAGCATGGTCCACCATTTAAATGTTGATGTTCCTCAGCCTTCTGTTCTTGTCCTTACCTTTTCACAGTACATGATCTTCTTGGGTGGCTTCCATTCACATCCCTATTGCTGAGCTCAGCACCCTTATGATCACTTAGTTACTGGTTAGTATTCCTTGGACATTCTACCAAAGTAAACATATCAAAGAACTCAATCTTCCCTGCTCACTGGTGCCTTCTCCTTTATTCTCTTATCTTGGTGAGTGGCACCATTGTCCACCTAGATAATGAAAATTGTCCCCAAGCCTTCTCTTCTACTGTACTGCCACTCTATCCTTTTGTATCTATATCTTTCCAGTGTGCTTCCTCTGTTTAAGCCTTAGTATTCTTGCCTTCATTCAGGCCTTCATCATTTCTCTGATCTGGAGTTTACAACACCTTCCTTTGTTCACTCTGCCTGCATTCTAACCCTCCTCCAATCTTTGCATCCTTCACACCTCCACCAGGTTATTATTCCAAAAACATGAATTTCATTCTTTTACTTAATTGATCAAAAGTTCAATAGCGCCTTATGACCAACAGAATATAGCCCACATGCCTTTCCAACCTTAATTCAGCCTCTCCCTTACACAAGCTTTCTACTGCAGTGATGCTTGCTATATCCCATCTGCATTTTTGCCTTTGCTCATGCCATTTGCCACTCCGGAGTGCCCATCCTCTTACTGACCACGTGTCTTGAATCTTCCTCAGCCTTTGAGACCCACCTTATATTCTGCTTCTTCCCAGGACACTTCAGTCCACAAGGATAACGGCCAACATTTTCAGAGCACTTTGCAGTTTACAAAATGCATATGCCTTAGGGTTCAGCACTGCCAGCCTCATTTTATGGGTGATAAAACCGAGGCACAGAAGAACTGGGTGACTTGCCAGATGCTGCATAGATTGTCAAATACAGAGCCTGGGCCTAGCCTTTCGTCTTCTCTCTTCAGATCCCCTGCTTTTGTCTCAGTGACCACTCCCTCTCTGATCTCACAGCAATTACGGTCTTCATTTCTCCTTCAACCTTAATCACATATTGCATGTGACTCCAGCAGGAAGAGAGGTTTTGAGAGTAGGAGGCGAGGTCAAAGAAGAGATCATCCTCCATTTGTCATCAACACTGGCCAGTAAGTGCACAAATGAGCTCGGCTACCTGGAAACTACCCTTGGGAAGATAATCTGTCAATGGAGGTAAGCCGGACAGAGCCTTGGGAATGGAAGGCAACCATCAGGGTATTAGAGCTGGGGCCTACAGTGAGGACCATGACAGCAAGGGTTGAGGTGGGGTTCTGGGTGTTGAGACACTCTTTCCGGATAGTTTGCCAGGTTCCTTGGTTATGGAGAAGCTACATTCTGTCCCTCAGGCCACCAGCTGAACAGAAGGCCTCCCAGAGTGGACCCAGCACTCCCTGTTGGGTTATGTGCTCACCTAACATTCTTCTCATCAATGGTTTGATCTCCTGGTTGTAGAGGGAGTACCCTGGGTAGTTGTCTGGCTCAACCCAGTTTTCTATCCAGCTCCCTCTCCTTCACAAGGCAACCAGGTGACTTAAACCACAGCTCATGTGGGGCTTGTTCATTGTGCATGCCTTTTCCTAGGTTGACAGAGGTCTGAGAGAGCAGACAAAGTTCTCTATCTGCAAAGTAGAGTAGCAGCCAGATATTTGGCATTAGGTGACCTGTCCCTCCCAACTAGGCACATGGGTCATGACCCTTGGCCATGACTCCTGAGGGGTCATCTGGGACATCTCTTCTGAAGTATAGCATGGCCTTGTGACATCTCAGGCATCTGGGCCTCCTCAGAGCATGAGGGCCTCAGAAAATCCCTGAGAAATGAACAGAAGAGATGACACCAGGCAGCAGCCTGGTGTGGCAGGCAAGTGTGCTGATTTTTTGCTGCCACAGGCCTCTTCCCAGGTGGCCTTGGAAACACAGCATCACCAGGTCCCTCTTCCTTTCTCTCCTTGCTGGGTTCCTGAATTCGACATCAGTCCTTCAAATAGCAGCAATGTCCTGGATGGATCCAGCTCTGTTTTCTTACTCTCCATCTTTAGAGTGGAAATTTGGAAATATATTTCTTTTCTTTTTTAAGTAGAACACTGTTAAGATGAGAAGAAGCAGTGTTTCTGCTTTTTTTTTTCCAAGTGAGAATTACAGAAAAACTCAGGAATCCCAATTTATTTCAGAAAGAATTGAAAAATTAGACATAATAGAAAATAGTCCGCTGGCCAGGTGCAGTGGCTCATGCCTATAATCCCAGCACTTTGGGAGGCTGAGGCAGATAGATCACCTGAGGTCGGGAGTTCGAGACCAGCCTGACCAACATGGAGAAATTCTATCTGTACTAAAAATACAAAATTAGCCAGGTGTGGGGGCAGGCACCTGTAATCCCAGCTACTCGAGAGGCTGAGGCAGGAGAATCACTTGAATCTGGGAGGCGGAGGTTGCGGTGAGCCAAGGTTGCGCCATTGCACTCCAGCCTATGCAACAGGAGGAAGACTCCATCTCAAAAAAGAAAAAAAGGAAAGAAAAGAAAGTACAGCATTAAAGAAAATTTTGAAAAAAATATAAGTATAAACAACTGAAATCAAAAGAAAACCACGATGCTGTTTTCTTTTCACCTTTCAACCCTTATATACATGGAGACATAGCTGTCTGCAAAGTTAACGATCGTAGTATGCAAATCCCTTTGTATTCTCCTTTTTATTTAATACCATGGCAGTTTTCCATATCACTACCTAGTCTGAAGAGTAACTTATTTTCAGCATGTACTATCATTTATTAAGCCACTTTCTTGTGTGTTTTGTTTTTGAAAAAAATTCTTATTCTTTGCTTTTAGAGACGATGAGGCAATGAACATTTGTGTATAATTTTTCGTTTCCTTTTGAATAACTTGTCTAGGATAAATTCCCAGGAGTGAGATTGCTGGATTATAGGATGTGAACAGTTTTTAATTCATTTTATGTTGTTATGTATTTTTTCCAAAAGGATTGTGCCAATTTATGTACCGGCAATATGTACAGTTTCCAGTTTCATTTCAGTCTCCCTAGTCTTGGAGGTTTTTGTTTGCTTTTATCGGTAGTTTTTTGATATATGGCATTTAGAGGAAATCTATAGGATTAAGGCAGGTTTTTCTTCAGCACAAAGTAAAAATAATCTAATTGGAAGATTAGGAATTTTTAGGAGTCTTTCTTTCCTGTGTTGGATGCTTCGTTCTATGTGGCAATTATATTCCTAAAGCTTTGTTGGAAACTATGGTGGAAAACCTTGCTGCCATTAAACTCAGAATAACAAAATGTGAAAAGAGAAATTCTAGAGTCTTTGAAAGCAATTTATACAATAGCAGAAAAAAGAAGGACTTACATATTTGGGTTTTAATTTAATTTCAGAGGATAAAATTAATAAGAACACAGAAAGTTGAGTTCATTTCCTAGTTCTGGGTTTTTTTTTTTTTTAAAGATAGGGCCTTGTATGTTGCCTAGACTGGTCTCAAACTACTAGGCTCAAGCAGCTCTCCTACCTTTACCTCCCAAAGCCCTGGGATTACCGTTGTGACCACCATGCCCAGCCTCCTAGTTCTGTCTTTACTAACTGAATTATATTAAACAAATAGCATATTCTCTCTGAATCTGTTTTCTTCTCTGTATAATAAAAAAATAATGAAATTCATTCATTCATTTTATAAATGTTAATTGAGTGTGTATTATGTTCTTGCACTAGGTGCTAGGCAGGTGAAGGGCAGGTACAATTGTGAACAAATAAAAGTCCTTCCCTAAGACTATGTCTAAGACATGCATTAAACAGTCAAACAAATAGTATATCACAAGTAACACAGCCCAGCAAAAAGTAGGTGCTCTCATTTCTTCCTCACATTTTCTCCCTAAAATGAGTGTTGTTTTTCTGATAATTTGTTCTGTACTCCTCATGCAAACAGTCTTTGAAATTTTTACTCCCAATGTGATGTGGAATAGCTTGTTCCATCATTCCTTGGCAGACTTAAAGTACTCCAGTAAATATTTTCCTTTTCTTAGTTACAGATGTGTTAAGATGTTAAAAGGAGGTGGTTTGTGGCAAGGTAGTGTTTTAAAATTTAACTTGTTGCCAACATTTTTAAATTTAAATAAGAATTTCCAGGGTTTTGGAAAACTAAGATTTGGAAACACTGGGCCCACATTCTTTTAAGTAAAGCACTTTATTCATATAGACTGCCCAGCCCCTGTAGGCATTGAATTTACTACCTTGGCTTAAGTACAGTCTTCCAAACTCTGTCCCCTCCACCCTTCTAGGTCAGGGAAGATAAGAAGGAGAGGGAAGAATTAAATTATGACCAAAGCAGCCATAGGAAGGGGGCAGAAATGGGGTCATTTGACTCTTTCCCCTTCTCAAATCAGAAACTCAGTTCGTGGATGTACCTTTAAATTAACCTTTTCCTTTCATGGAGTTACTTCAATTGCTCTTATAAGACATAAATGAGATGCCTATTTCTTTATATTCTTACCCTGTGTAGTACTTACTGGTGGTGGAAAGCCATGCCACCTTCCTGCTTTCCCAGGATTGTGATGCAAGGTCTAACGCAGTAGTTCTCAAAGTATGGTCTGTATACCCTAGGAGGTGCTTGGGGGGAATCCCTGAGACCCTTTCAGGGGGTCCACAAGGTCAAAAAAATTTTAATAATAAAACTAACATGTTATTTGATCTTTTCACTGGGTTGACATTTGCACTGATGGTGCCAAAGCAGTGTTATGTCAAACTGGTGATGCTTTGGGCACCAAACTGGAATAAAACATTACGTTCTTTGCCACTAGGCATCTGCCAATGAAAAAAAAAGAAGGTAGTTTACCTTAAGAATTTCCATGATGAAATGGTAAAAATTTTTATTAAATCTCAATCCTTAAATTCTTAAGTACTTTTTTATATTTCTTTTTGATATTCTGTGTGAGGAAAAAGTACTCCTGCTACATATTAAAGTAAGAAACTGTACTGTGCTATTGAGTTGCAAGTTAAACTAGCCTTTTAAAAAATAAAACATCATGGCTGGACACGGTGGCTCACCCCTATAATCGCAGCACTTTGCGAGGCTGAGGTGGACGGATCATGAGATCAGGAGATTGAGACCATCTTGGCCAACATGGTGAAACCCTGTCTCTACTAAAAACACAAAAATTAGTGGTGTGTGCTTATAATCCCAACTACCTGAGAGGCTGAGGCAAGAGAATCGCTTGAACCAGGGAGTCAGAGGTTGCAGTGAGCCAAGATCGCGCCACTGCACTACAGCCTGGCAACAGAGAGAGACTCTGTCTCAAAACATAATACTAAAAAAAATAAAATGAAACATCAGCATTACATGAAAGAACAACTGGCAGACAAACTGTGGTTATTTAGGCTTGGAAATCTGTTAGATATTTTCTCAAAAATGAAGTGACCAGTATTTGTTGCCAATGATAAAATTCAAGCATTCAAGCAAAAGTTAGAATTCTGTACAGTGTTTGCTGCCTCCATTAGTTTGGCAGCTTCTCAATGCTTACAGAAATTTCTGAGGAGATTAGAGGGGATTCTAAAGAATATGTTTATGTGTTTTTTGTTGTTGTTATTGTGTAATGAAATGTGTCAATATTTGGAACATCTGTATAAGTCATTGAACTGGTATTTTCTGAATGACCAACCAATGCTTGGTGTTACAAAATTATGCCTGGGGAAAAGAGTAGTTCAAAGTGCAAGATCAGCAGATTTTAATATAACAGAATAAGAAAAGTATGGTTCAGAGTCTACTTTATAAATAACATTTAAGAAACTACTACCACTGGTTGAATTTTGGTGTAGTATCAAAGAATATCCCCAATTACCTGATAAGGCTATTAAAGTACTCCTATCTTTTCTAACTGTGTGTCTATGTGAGGCTGGATTTTCTTTATATATACTATAAACAAAACAACATATAACAGATTGAGTACAGAAGCAGGTATGGGAATCCAGCCATCTATTAAGCCAGATGTTAAAGAGATTGGCACATACAAGAAACAATGTGACTCTTCTCATTGAATTAATGTTTTTTATGACCTCGTCTCTGAGTAATTAATTTTTTTGAAAGTAGTTAATTTATTTTTTTGGCTGCGTGCAGTGGCCATGCCTATGATCCCAGCACTTCGGGAGGCCAAGGTGGAGGATCACTTGAGGCCAGGTTGGGCTACATA